GTTTCGCTGATGCAGACCAGACAGAGATCCCCTGGTTTCCCTTCTAATCCAGAAAACTTCCTGTGAGGAGCCTGAATTTCCTCTCTCATCTGCTCGTAAATGTGTTTCTTCTCATCATCCATGTTTACCCATAATTCCACAAGACCACAGTCGGGTTTCAGGTTCACCCTCGTGATGAGAACAGAGATTTCTGTTCCTGGTGCTGGAAGCCCGGGAATTGAACACATCGTGAAGCTTAGACATCAAATATATCTGCAAAATAGTGAAGACAAATGTGTTACTACTTAAGAAAAAAACCAAAAACAAAACTTCAGTCCATTATTTTTTTTAAAAGGCACTTAAATTGTACTAAACTGTAGTGTGGCCTAGGTTACTACCACTCTGCATTTAATGATAGCAGCCCCTCCCTGAGCCTGGTTATGGTGGAAGGTTCTCCTTCCCATTGTTGCCAAGTGCTTGTTCACAGGCGGTCATCTGATTGTTGGGGTTTTCTCTGTATTATTGTAGGATCTTAAACTTCCAATATAAATCACTGAAAAGGCGATGCTATTGTGATTTCAACAGCATACAGATTTGAATTATATACAGTTTTATACAAATAACACTGAACTGACTTCACAACTGCTGCAACGCCATGTACTGTGGGATCGATATAGTTCCTTATTTTTAAAATGCAACTTTTACATTTCGATGATGGTGCATGCATTTTTGCGTTATAGTCATCTATGTCAGAACTGTTAGCAGAGAAACAAAGTAACACTTTGCATAATTTCCATGAGATAGCAATTTTTGTTATTTTCTAACCATTAACCAACCAAAACGTATATAATCTGTACTGACTTTGCAGTAATTTCTAATGTAACTGGAAAGGTTGTTAAACACACCAGATGATTATTTGGCCACATGTGCATTCAACTATTTTACTTATGCATTTATCTCATTGGTTATTCTTATAAGAAGAGGATTACTATTCAGGTCCGTATGTCTTGGGCTGCAGGGAAATGCATTCCATAAAGGCAGAGGAGTCTCAGGTTTCTTAAAAACATTCACTTGTTGGACTGTTTAACCGCTCACTTAACTGACAACAACAGATGAACAAAAACAAATATGATGATAGAGAGAAACAAATTTGTGCCATTTAAACCACTCAAAAAATTGCAGCAGCTGTTTGAGTTCTTTTTGAGCTACTGTGATCTACTAACAACTAATGTGCATTTAATCTAACTTCAATCAGGCCAGAGGATTCCAGTGAGACTGGTGGTGTTCATTTACAAAACAAACAAGCTATATGGTAAATGGCCTGTATTTATATAGCACTTTACTTAGTCCCTAAGGACCCCAAAGCGCTTTAAACAACCAGTCATCCACCCATTCACACACACTGGTGATGGCAAGCTACATTGTAGCCACAGCCACCCTGGGGCGCACTGACAGAGGCGAGGCTGCCGAACACTGGCGCCACCGGTCATACACAGGACTTAATGACCCATCTCATTATTAGCACATTAAAAACTACACATAAAGACAGCTCAGGCAGCCTGATGAGGAGAGACACACTCAGGATCAGATGAGAAAGCAGAGCATTTAAATTTCACAACACTGGCATTCGGTGCCATCTACTGACCATCTGCAGAACATGCCAACATTTTTAAAAGATATATCCAATAACTTAAGTTTATTCAGGTAAAAGATGTCTATCCAGGTATGCTTTTCCTGCACTGGCACTGTGTTTGGGGTCATTGTCATGCTTAAAAATAAAGCTGCTGCCAATCAGACGCAGATGGCGTTGTATTGTGGATCAAAATCTGGTGCTAAGAGACCACCAGCACCACTGGCTGAAATGCAGCTTTAACATGTTTTACAGATGGCTGTAGACACTCACTGTTGTACCTCTCTCTCCGGACCTCCTTTGTACAACCACTGGAACCAAAAATGTCAAATTTGGATTCCTCACTCTTTTCTTAACGCTTAGATGTGTAACCTTCACTGTTTGTCTGCTGTTGATAGTTTTAGGCCTGAAACGTTTTTGTCCACCACAAACATCTTTTAACAAATACTGCAGACCTTGCATAGATATGCTAAGTTATAGGCGAATAGGTCTTTGGGAATCACCTTGTTGGTGCAAAAATAAACAGTCTACTAGCCTTAAGTGCCTAAAGATACAATTCAGTATTGGTTATTTACTAAGCTGTCTATGATGTGTCACCAACACTGATTCAAAGCTTGAGTTACGGGACTATTTTTAATACTTGAATGACTCATAGATCAAGAAAAAAAAAAAAAACAGCAGGTGACCAAAGAAAACGTTTGAAAAACCTTCAGAAAGTCTGGAGATAAATTGCTCAGGTCTGTTTTTTTCCTGGCGTACTGCAAGCAAAATAAAATTAAGGGTAGTTTAAGACTTTTGTCACCAAAAGTGCCCGTTGCTTCACAGTTTAGTTTGCGTGCTTTTTCACATGTGTTACACGCATCTTCAGCTTAATGGGTTTTTTTCTCACCACGTCTGCTGCAGGCCACACGTCTCATCTTGTTCCTGTCGTTAAACTCAACTGGGATCCGGTAGGAGGAGGACATGGGGGCGTGCACTCACGCCTTTTAAAGGCTTCGATGAGCCATGACACAAAATCCTCCCGGAGATCAATGTGTTTGTATTTTTGTTGTTCTTTTCTTTTCTTTTTTTAAATAAAATAAAATATAGAGTCTAACTCCACATGCAGCACAATTTAAAGCCCCGGTCCCTCCCTCTACTTCCTCTCTCCCTCCCCCGGCTTTTCTATTTTCAGCCAAAACAAAAACAAAACGGGAAAAACTTACATTTGTTTTGAACGCGCACACGCGCACACACAGCCACGCACGCACACAGGTGGGTGCCGAGCAATGATGCCGAGCCAATCACGCTGCACGCTTCGTGTTCCGTGTTTAGAACCGAAATCACACCCACAACTGTCACGGCAGCAGCTTGTTTTCCATGCAGTAACACCGTACGACCAGGAAGTCGTAAAGCGACGTACACTCTTCCCGTGATCATAATATTTTTGAAGGCTTCCCACGAGATCGAGCGATGGTAGGCGACTTCTAACAAGGTGCTACATTGTTTGTGATCCACGAGAGCTGAGCTCTAGCGGAGGTCTGCAGGGGGGGTTGTGATCGCCTGCGTTCTTGGGGGGTTGTGAGACAAAGAGCTGGACTTTGGTGTGCACTTTTGGAAACTGTTTTCTCACTGAGCTCAGAGGCTCTTACATGTTGGTGCAGCTGGCATAGCAGATCCAGCTCATTGTGACCTATAGATGCAGCGTAGCTCGGCTTGCTGGTGCCTGTAGTTATGTAGAGTTGCATGTGGAAGTAAAACGCTTAGCTACATGTTGCACTGCTGATCATCTATTTGTATCGCCGCTGAATCTGCTAGTTTAGGTGGCGGCTTCCTGACTTCAAGTCAAAATGCATATTTCTTTATTTTTACATGCTGACTCTATGAGAAATTAGTTTTCACCACTATAAGCTTCCCTATACATTTTTGGTGCTGTCTCCAAACTGCTGCATGTCTCGCCGACATATTTACACTTCTGATTGCAAATTTAAACAAGGAACTACTACTAATACTGATGGCTTATTTAGGGCTTTTGCAGGTGGACACACTTATTAATAGAAGCATTCAAATCTGCCCAGTTTAATAGATTAAGACTGAACGAGAAAAGTTGTTCTGGTTGTGCATTAGTAGAATTAAAAACATATCAGTTTGCAAAATGAGTGAACGTTTCATTTAAGCTGACAGTGCTGAGCTATAGGGGGAGTTAAAAATAATGGTATCTCATTTGCTTTGTCATGTTAACTCTGTTGACAGTGACTTGTTCCAAAATGAGTAAGAGAAAAGGCAAAGTGATCACTGAAGCAACAACTTTCAAGAGCCGCAAAGTCGCAGCTGCGAGTATCGAAAATACGCCAGATGATGCAAACCCAAGTCATCAGGGGATCTGTTCCAAGGCCTTCGCTCAGTTTTCTACAGTGAGTATTTTGCCCCAACATTAAAACTCACACAAAGTTTTGTCTTTGCTCCTCCCGACTCGTTAAAGGTTAAATATTGTTTTCTGCTTGTGTTCTTAGGGCGACATTGGACTCATTGAAAGCATCAGTCTGAAGAATTTCATGTGCCATCATTCTTTTGGTCCGTTCCAGTTTGGGCCAAACGTGAATTTCATAGTTGGCCACAATGGAAGTAAGAGCTTTCCCTTCACTTGATTGTACCTGGATGTTGTCATGTCTGACATGTGATTTTAATTGGGTGCAGCTGTTCTTTTCCTTATAGAAACACTTGCTGGCCACTTTATTAGCTACAGCATGCTAGTATGGGGTTGGACCTCCTCTCACCTTTGGTCCATGTTGACATGATAGCATCACACAGTTGCTGCAGGTCCATGATATGAATCTCTCTTTACACCACATCCCAAAGGTGCTTTTGGATTGTACAAGCTATTTGAGTACCTCGAACTCACCGTCACGTTCAAGAAACCCAACCGAGAGGATTTGGGATTTTTGTCATCCTGTGTTATCTCGCTGGAAGCAGCTTTCCGAAGATGAGTACACTGTGGCCATACAAGGATGGGCATGGTTAGCGACAAAACTCGGGTTGGCTGAGGTGTTTAAACAATGCTCAGTTAAGCAAAGTGTGCCAAAAAAAAGTAGTCCCCACAACATTACACCACCAAGAGCCTGAATTCAAATTTTGATGCTACCATCCAGAAATTGAAAATCATTGTAGCCTTGGTTTCCTGTTCTCAGCTGACCCAGTGTGGTCTTCGGCTACTCTAAGTTTCAAGGCTTGCCATGCTCTGCATTTAGAGATGTGCTTCTGCACGCCGTGGTTGTAACGAGTGGTTAATTGAGTTATTTTTGCCTTAAGCAGTGCAGTTATTCTTCTCTGACCTCTGACATCAACGCGAGAACTGCCGATCGCTCGATATTTCTCTAGTAAACTCTAGAGATGATTGTGTGGGGAAAGTCCCAGTAGATGAACAGCTTCTCAAATACTCACATAAACAACCATGTTACATTCATGTTGCACTTAAATCACCTTTCTTCCCCACTCTGATGCTTGGTTTGAAATTCAGCAGATCATCTCGACCATCTCTGCATTGCGTTAATGATGAACAGTCGTACTTAACAAATCGAGAGTTTGTTTTTAAAGTGATATAACAGACTTGTAATATATCAGGAAGGAATGGCATCTTGAGACTTCAGGCCTAAATCCACAACAAAACCTTGTCACCCTTTGTGGATTAACAATACAGTGAATTTTGTTATCTACACAAGAACGTTTGATCCATCCCTCTCCAGCTTTGTCATTTTGTCACTTAACACCACAAAAACTCCCCTGTAAAACATGTTAAACATTTAGATTTCTTTCACTGGAAACAATACTTTGCAGGATTTACAAGATTACCATTTATTGCTCACTTGGCTGAATCATTTTAGGTGATGAATCAGCTTATCAGATGAAACAGTAAAGAACTGTTTAATGCTGGGCTGACTGAATATTTGTTTATTTAAAGACGGCTTCCTGATTTCTTTTTTTTTTTTTCAGTCAATGCATCATTTACAATCATTTGCATAGTTTTCTAGCTGTGCCGAGCGCCGCATGTCTGTAAGATGCTTTACATGCACCGATTTAATTTGATGTCTTGTAACTGGTTTATCCCTCAGGTGGAAAAAGCGCTATCCTGACCGCTTTGATTGTAGGCCTCGGGGGAAAGGCCACTGTGACGAACAGAGGAATGTCACTGAAAGACTTCGTGAAGACCAATGAAAAGTAAGTAATAGATCCTAACATCGTCCCTCAGTAATAAATCGTGAGTCTTTATTTTAGTGTTAAAAATGCTTCAGATTTCTTTACTAGCAAACATCACTAAAACAATGTTAAAAATACACTCTGGTTTCTAGTACTGCAGATGTAACCGTAAAGCTGAGAAACAGAGGGCCAGATGCTTACAAAAAGGATGTTTACGGCGACAGTATCACCATTGAACATCGGCTCTCGAGTGATGGATGCCGGACCTGCAGGCTGAAAAGCAAATCAGGTGACTTTCCACAGATGCTGTGACTGGAAAACTTTCTGTGAGTCAGTCCAAGTCTTGTGAAACCTTCTGGAAATCTTAGATTAACCAGACACAGTTGGGAGTGAAGACCAAACACTTCAGCCACACTGTCACCTCCTAATACCGTATACAGTCTTTACTCTCAGTCTGGAATTTTCTCTATAAACTTGTATATATTTTATTTGCATGGCACTGCTTTCAGCCGCTGGTTTTCCTATGTTGTAAATGTCATTTTATAAATAAAAGGAACTTAAAGTGCATGTGCCAGTATGCATGTTCACTCTTGTACCTGACCATTTTCAGAAGAA